ATCGCTTGGACGCACACTTTTACTGTCTACCGACTGTCCCGAGCAACCCATCAGGGCTGGCTGGGACTTCAGAATCCTGTCATGGCGATTCCCTCTCCCCTCTACCCACTGGTTTATGTCTTCACATTCGGATACGTGCTCTTTAGTGCGCTCGGGGTGGCTGCCAGAACAAGAGGGCAACAGTAGACTGGATGACCCAGGTATATCGTCTCCAGGCAGAACAGAAATCCCATCACTTACAGCAAGAGGCTTAGGTGAGATGGATTCCGCGATAGGTTATTTTTTTGCGACATCGCTTAAGACATCGTGCGTGGGAATCGAGTCTCCCTTTATCGGCAGCTTCGTTTTCATTGTCCTGCTGTTACCGGCGTCTGCGGTTTTGGCTGTTGAGTTGCTACTCGTGTTTGAAGATTCCCCCGAGGAGATATTTTTCGCGTTTTTTGCGTTTTGCTCTTCGTTTTCAGTTTATTTGGTAAGGATAATAGGCAAAGCCTTTGAAAACCCTATTGATTACATGTCAGCTCGTTAGAAATAACTGTACACAAACAAAAAATATTCACTATAAAAACAGTGCTTGGTTCATTTGAGTAGCATTGTCTCAGAGGAAATATTTGTGGGGACCAGGGGTATTAGTTCAGATTCAGACCGTCGAGGGTAAACAGGGGACACAAATAATCATCCAAGCGTTTCTTGAAGAGTTGCAGGGATGTGGCCTCCACGCCTGACTGAGGGAGATCGTTCCATTTCTCCACTACCCTCTGCGTGAAAAACTCAGAACGAAGATTCAGCCTGGACATTGTTGTCCGTAACTTCATCGAGTGACCACGAAGATTGGGTGAAAGATGCCACTGAAACATGTCCTCAAATTTAAGTCCATACTCAATGCCATGTATTATCTTGTAGACGAGGATAAGATCACCTATTTGCTGCCTGTAACACAGAGGGAATAAATTAAGGCAATTCAGTCTGTCTGTGTAGGAATGGTTTTTTAGACCGTTTACCAGCTTTGTTGCACGCCGTTTACCCGTTCGAGGCATTCTTGGTCCTTTACCAGCCATGGCCGCCATGCTTGTATGCCATATTCTAAGTGGGGTCGAACAAAGGTGCCGTAAACTCTCCCAAAAAGGTCTTGGTCAAAATTTACGAAAGCCCTTTATATTGCATGCAGCACTCCCATGGCGTTTTTTGCAGCCTTGTGGCACTGCAGTGTTGGTTTCAGGTTGTTCTGTATCCAAACCCTGAGATCCTTCTGTGAAGATTCTGCGGGGAGCCTTATATCTTTCAGGTGATAAGTCCTCAGACTCTCATTTGAATGAGAGTTGGTTGGACGCAGATGAAGGACGGCACACTTCTCCACATTGAAATCTAGAAGCCATTTCTTCGACCACGCTTGCAGTCGGTGCAGATTATCTTGAAGGGATTTCTGATCATTCGGACCCCTAATGACTTGCCAGAGCTTAACGTCGTCTGCAAACATTATTTTGCCGCAGTCGAGTTCCTGAAGGCTGTCGTTAACGTAAAGGATGAAGAGTAATGGTCCCAGAACTGAGCCTTGCGGCACACCACTGGTCACATTCACCCATTCTGACATATCATCCCCGATACAGACACGTTGTTTCCGACCAACCAGAAACGCCCTAATCCAGTTCAGAAGATCTCCCTGGATGCCAATGTCGCTCAATTTGTGAAGAAGACGTTGGTGTGGGACAGTGTCAAAAGCTTTGCGGAAATCGATGTACACGACATCGACCTCAAAACCCTCTTCTAGAGCCCTGGTCCAGATCTCCAGACAAGCTAGCAGATTTGAGAGGCAGGAACGTCCTCTTCGGAAGCCATGTTGAAAATCCCGTAAGATGTTATTTTCTTCACAAAATTGCTGTATAGCGTTCTTTACTATAGCTTCCATCGTTTTGCAAGGGAGGCAAGTTAAGCTAATAGGCCTGAAACAGCTTGCTGCCATCCTGCTACCGCCTTTATGTAAGGGGACGAGGTTAGCTGTCTTCCACTGTGATGGCAGCCTTCCTGTTCTCATTGACAGCTCAAAGAGAGTCGAAAGAGGCTTTGACAGCTCCGTTGATAGCTCCTTAAGTATCAGCCCGGGAATTCCGTCGGGTCCAGGAGACTTATCAGGTTTTATGTGACTGAGGACGCGTCTGACTTCTTCGACGGAAAAGGCGACGGTTTTAATGACGGCAATATTTTGGCGCATTTGAAGCTCCCGGCTGTCTTGGTCCATTTCAAACTGCTGATTGTCTTCTAGGGACTCCTCCGTAAAAACCGATTGAAAAAAATGAGACAGTAATCGCACTTTCTGTGACCCTTCAACTAATAAGTTTCCGAGGCTATCCTTTAGACACGCAATTTCGTCCCTATGCTTCCTCCTACTGCGGTTGTACCCGTAAAACTTCTTGGGACATGTAATGGATTCTGCTATCAGTCGACGCTCGAAAGAAGTTCTAGCAACCCGTATTTGTTTGCGGCATTTATTGCGCTGATCCTTATATTCGGCGAGTGACCTTGGATCTCGAAGATGCAAATACTTTTTCCAGAGTCTCTGTTTCTTCTTCATGGTCTTTTTTGTCGTCGGATTGACCCACGACGGTCGCATACATGGTCTTGTCATTTTTATTGGACAATGGGAATCAATCAGACGCTCTATAATCCCGCGAAAGTACTGCCAAAATTCGTCTGAATCTTCTGTGTTGACCAACCAGGTTTCCTCCGAAAGAGTGCGTCTCATTGCGTTAAAGTCACCCTTCCAAATATTTCTGCGCCTCTTGATTTTTGGTTGTTGGTTGGATAGGAGAGAGCACACGCAGGTAAAAGCAATATGATCGCTTAAACCGAGTGGAGGTTGTGGATTCACTTCCTTTATGAGTCCTTCTTCTTTACTGAAAACGAGATCTAAACAGTTAGATCGTTGTCCTTCTCTCATTCTTGTTCCGAATTTTATGTGCTGAATGAGGTATTCATTCAGGGAGACTTGTAGTTGCTTGTGGTCAAATGACGTGGACGGGGCGTTTGTTAGGGGAATGTTCCAGTCTATTCCTGGAGCGTTGAAGTCACCCAGAAGTAGTAAGTTCTCCTGCTTACATAACAACTCCAGTACACTAAGTAATTCCATATCAGCGATTTCATTCGAGCTGGGAGGCCTATAGACAACACACAGGTTCAGTGTCGGTAATTGTTTAATGCATATCTTGCATGAAATTATTTCAAAATTTCGGGGCGCACCATCGGATATTTCTCGTTGACAGCACGCAATTTCATTTGACACATAAATAGCTGTGCCTCCACCTCTACGGTGAAATCTGTCACAACGGAACAGTTGGTAGCCTTCAATTCTGACTTTGCTACTACTAATTTCCTCAGTCAACCATGTCTCTGTTAGGACAATTATGTGTGGCTTCTGTTCAGAAACTAGTGATCTGAGTTCATCTAGCTTGTTGAGAAGACTCTGACAGTTAGTGTAATAGATTTCTAGACAGCGGCCACTGGTTCGAGCAGCCTCAGGAGTTGGCACCTTTGCATCGTTTAGGCTGTCAGAATGACGGCCTTCGGCCAGAGAAATGTCCTTCGGACCTGAATTATTTGTCCATTCTTGATTTTTAGGTGTGCTTCGCCGCTGTTTCTCCGCTTTTCCAGCTCCGTCATCAGCTCTCTCATTTTCATTCGCTCTTTTGGCTCGTAATCCGGCTGAAAAAAACTTCAGGATGCTGACCCCGTAGAGATGATTTTCTCTGTAACAGAAGCTGGGCCTGTGCTTCAGTCTCCAAAATGACTTTTAGGGGTCGAGGCCGGGAATTGGAACCGGATGCTGACTGACTCTTCCCTATTCGGAATGCTTTGAGAACACTTAGTGACTCATCGTCTCTTAACAAAGTTTTCGCATACACTTGAAGAAGGTCTAAGTCATGCTTAACTCTCTCCTTTGGTACTGCTGCCGTTGATTCGGGTACTCCTTTTATAACTACATTTTGCTGGCGACTGAACCTAGTGCTCGCTGTTGTCACACATCTTTTGAGTGACTGAGCGTTCTTCTCCAGTTTACTAGTTTCGCTGGTTTCGGATGAACTAGCTATTGGGCTAACGAAACTGAGATCCGTGTGCGATTCATTTATCTTCCTGTTGATAACCCATCCTTCTGTGTTTCCGAGGTATTCGTCGAAAAAGTTTACCTCAGTTTCTTTCGAAACCTCCTCCTGAATATTCGGTCCACAAGGTGTTCCGATATCTTTATTGTTGAACATATTTGGGAGCCTCTGGCGGTCCTTCGTAGGCCTCCTGGTCGTTCTCCTTCGCTGGTCTGCGTGTACGTAGGCGGCCTTCTTTTTTTTGGACCGTATAGAGGTGCGCGTTGTTTTTCTGGAATGTTTCTTTGTTATCTGAGTTCGCTTCGACTGGTCTTTTTCTCGCCTAAGAGACTGGCATTTAACTGTGCCTAGTTCCCTGGACGAACCGTCGTCAGTTTCAGCGTTTGATATGGCTAAAGAAGCCGTGGTTGCATATGTTTTTTTCGGATTCTGAATTGCCGAATTCGTCGGCTTCTTCTCTTCACGTAAGTGGTGAGTAAGCTGCCTTAACTTTTCTACCTCCATTTTTAGACCTTTTAACTCCCCCTCCATTTTTAAAAACTTATGGACGAGTCCGAAACATGTGGTACAGATTTCATCGTCGTATTTGACATCCCCCAACGTCTGTAGACTTTTTGCGCGTTTTACGGGCATTGGTCTGACAGCAGAACGTCCAACACTGCAGTCATTAATATCATGCGTAATACAAGATGTATTATTATTTTTGACAACGTTGGCGCGAGTCAGTGGCCTAGTGGTATCGACGGTTGTCTGTCCGACCGATGGACCGGGTTCAAATCCCGCCTTGGGCGTGCATTTTACACCGTGTTTTGAGGGCATTTCTCTGAATAACATTACCGAGTTTACAAGTT